AAAAAAAAAAAAAAAAAAAAAAGAAAAGAGAAAGGAGAACGTAAGAAGCTTCTTATTAACGTTACGTATGGCTATGCAAAAATATAAGTGAAACACGCCTCAGATAGAAACGAGGTTTCGATTCGACGTTTACACGTGGAAATCTGTTTACTTTCAGTCCGCTTTCAGCGGAAGTATAATATTCGAGCGTGCACAAATTCAGAGAGACTCTTGATGAAAGGAACGTTTCTTTTTTCTTCTTTAACGATATCTAAATAATTCGTCAGTTCTGCTATTTTTTCGTTTTTTTTTCTTTCTTTTCTTTTTTTAACGCTATCAGAACGTCTACTTGCGCTATCTAATTTATTGCTGTCGAATTTCGACGAAAACGAAAGCCGTTGAACGACGATGAGAGAGTTAATGCTCGCGAGAAACACGCAAAGGAATATCCGCAGCGAAACCACCCCTTCGAGAGTTCACAAATTTCCTTCATTTTTAGAATTTAGATGCGAGAGATCGACCGCTACTCCTCAGATCCCCGACGATTTTTCATGCTGCTTACACAGCTATACGTTCGATTCTCCAGCAAAAGTGTCCACGAACGTGCTTGCGGGCAAACGCAAGCTATTATCAAAGAGGATCGAACAATGTAATTTTCTGTAAATTTGCATCTCTCTCTTGGTAGAATCGGGGGACGTTCATTGTAAGTAAGGATCGGAAGAAGTGATACGGGAAGAGACAATTCGTTGAAACGTTTCCAGTTGTTGTTTTTTTTTTTTTTTTTCTGAATTCTTTATTAGAGCGTAGCCGGTAAGCGTTTATGGCAGCTTTATGAGGATGACTGGGGTAGCGACCGTCGTAAAAAGTCATCGAAAAAAAAAGAAAAAAAAAAAAAAAATACCTAACCCAACGGTGAAACAACAATAAAACGATTAAATCCATTAATATTAACAGTAGAAGTTTAGGTTGATACCAACTAATGTAAATTCAACTAAAGAATAAAATCCTCCTAACGTAGCTCTCAGCGTCGTCGTTTCGTGTCTTCCTCTTCTCTGTCTGTTCAGAAAGAAAGAAAGAACCAGAAACAAAGAAAATATTATTACAGACGGCGGAGGAGGACGAGTCGGATAAAGAGAATTAAAAAATGGGGATGTTGTGGTAGAGCGGAGATCAAAGGTGTTCGCGTACTAACAATAATTATCTCGTTCATCGCGTCGATGACAATATATAATAATAATAATAGTAATAATAATAATTAATAATAATAATAGTAATAATTATAATAATGATAATAATAATAATAATAATAATAATAATAATAATAATAATAATCGTAGGAGCTCTCTCCCATTCGACCGCCTCGCTGACTGGAATAAAACGCAACTACGTAATATTGTATTGCGGGCTTACGATAGTTAGGTCTCTCTCTCTCTCTCTCTCTCTCTCTCTCTCTCTCTCTCTCTCTCTCTCTCTCTTTCTTTCTCTGTCGCCTCTCATTTTCTGCACGACTCTCCCATGGTAATAATTAATACTATATTCTCGTTATAATTTCTTTATCGCTAGTATTTCTTTCCACCTTCGCGCGAATGCTAAATATTTCTTCGTATTTTCTTCACTCTCTTCTTTTTAAATCATCTCTCTTGTCTTACTCACACTTTCTAGTTTTCCCACACATACGCGCGTCCTTTCTCACTCTCTCTCTCTCTCTTTCTCTCCCTCTCTCGCACTCTATCACCCTCTTGCGGTTTCTCTCGGTTCTTTTTTTTTTCTTCTTTTTTAAAATTTTGCTCGACGCAGGATAGCACGCGAACGTTCCGCAAGAAAGAAACAATCGTTTCGCTCGCACATTTGCTCGTTCGTCTCGTTTGCGGCCATCCTGCGTTTGCGTTAACACGACGACTGCCTCGTTTATTTTTTGTTAAACATCTCTCTGTCTATCGGATCGTTACGAGGAAATCCTTTCGTGTCCCTCTTTTCTTCGTTTTCTCTTCTTCTTCTTCTTCTTCTTCTTTTCTATATAATATACTTTATAAAATACATTAGTTTACAAACAACGTGGATTAAGTGCCGACGTCCCGCGGAAGTTATCACAGCTCAGGCTCGATCGTGGAACGGCTCGACTATAAGAACTCTATCTCCTTGCTACCCGGGTGAAACTAGTGGAAGAACTTCCAGCTCAAGAAAAAGAAAGCGCATTCTCGCTCGTGGTTTCGCGCGCCACCACTCGCGTCAACTAACTGTCGATCGATTTAAGTCAGCATACATATTAGACTTTTCGTCTCCCCTGAACCGGGTAGAGGTGTCCGGGCGTCAGTCATGAACGCGTGGATCTCTTTTTCTTTCTGCAACGCTTGCTTCGTTCAATCACTTCGTTTAATCAGGCAAAAATATTACTAGAAATATATCAAGGTAAAACAGGATCGCGTTACGGAGCTGCGCAACCGACTGGCAGAGACGTCGATCGTTAGAACAATAAGACTATCTTATCGTGCTACATACATATGTACAAAGCCTCTGGCACAAGAGGCACTCTCCCTTCCTTCGATTTTCTCCTCCTTCTTTTCTTTTTTTTTTGTTCTTTTTTTTTTTTTAATTTTCTGAATCCGAAACGTGCACTAACGCAGGAAGCAACGCGGGAAGGCATTCATTTAAAGAGCAGCTCTTTTCTCCTGCTTATAACTTTCTCTATGTCTTGTCAACTGTTTAAAATAAATATATCTTGGTACATGTTCGTACTGTTAGCTAAAACCGCGACTCATAAACGTAAGAATGCTTACATGAAAGAAAAGATCCGAGCTAAGATACCCTAGTGAAATCGTAGAATGATAGTGCACGTTCCGGATGTGTATCTACAATGAGGCAAGATCCCTTCAACGAATATCCTTTCGCCATCCATCGGACCACACGGTTGTACCCTACGTTATATCATTCGTTCATTTCGTGGTTGCGTGGAACGCGAACGCGAAGAACGTACAAAGAATCCTGGGTGGTTGCACGATTTGCAAAAATATCTCTCAACTATCTCCTACATTTTTCTTGCTCTTTTTGTTTTTTTATCTTTTTTTTTCCTTTTTCTTTTTTTACTTAATTTTCTCCAAATACTAACTTTTTTTAACGATCGTAGGGGAGGTGGGCAGGGGACTAATATTTTTTCTTTTAAAAGTTAACGGTAACTGTTCGCCCTCGCGCGAGGACGAGATTGGATGGTATAATTTTCTTATTTTTCCTTTTTTTTCTTTTTTTTTTTTACTTTTTTTTTCTTTTACTGTAGTAGATAAATTCTCTAAATTTTCAGCTCTCTGCTTCGAACGGGGGGGGAAAAAAAGAATCGATGTTATCGAGTTCGTAAAACGTGTGAATTTCGTCGCTATAATATTTTCATCTCTCTATTTAACGAGCACTTCGCGTTGAATTGGACATGGGATAAATCGGATTATAGTTGACGACCTCTTTTTTGTTGTCGAACAGTCTCTGCAGACCGTAGTTAAAGAAAATGCCCGGATCGTTGCAGCGACGTTCTTCTATTCTCTCTCTCATTTTCTCTTTCTCTGCTCTCACGTTCGGATCGTTAATAACGTTCCCGGCATTATACAGAATAATAACTCTGATAAACGAAAAATAACGAATCATTACAACGTCAGGATGTTTTCGGACCACAATCTCTTGCGAACCCTCGCCCTCTCGCGTCCCTACGTATCCCTGAAAAAAGAGAGAATTGCAATTTCATATTCTGACAAACAATTGATGATAAAAAGATGAATGTAGATGAATGAAAGTGATTGTTAACTTGTTAACCGAGAAATTTTTAAGCACAAATTTTTAATTTTTTGAACGTACAATGATTCATAAAAGTATTTGAGCACTGGAAATATTATAATATAAGGTGTGACTAGTTTGTAATGCATCGCTAACGAACTCGACCTTATGATTATATTGGTAAATACAATTAAATAAATAAAATTGAAATCAATCTGAAAATATATCTGGAAGTTTACAATTATTGCAAGCATGTATCTATCAAGTGAAATGGTCAAGTTCTTAACAAAACTTTCAAGATTAATTCTTGATTAAAGTACGATTTCGGTTAACAGGCTAGAATACTGAAACAGCACATAAGTAGCTCTCCTAATGCGACAAAAATCCTCCGAAGAGGAATAAAGCGACTTGCAAATGAAAAAGCAGGTTGAGAAAGTTTAATGACTACTAAGGATACCTAATGACTACTTTTTCCATCAGCATATACAGAGAACCCTCCGGCGAGTGATTGGCAGGAACTAAAGACTTAATGAGTTCCTTGACAAGAGTCTCTGTCATTCCTGGCGAAGTGCGTTCCGCTGTCTCGAATGCATTGCGTAGTTCCTCTATCGCGCCGCCGTTCTTGCCAATGCCGCTTCCGCCCTCGCCGTTATTGTCTCTTGCCGAATATTGATGCTTCCGTTGAAGCTGCGTTACAATACAAACGTAGATAGAACAAAGAGTTAATTTTTCCATCTCTTCAGCGTGTCGATTCTGTGTAAATTCTCTTTTACAAGAAGAGAGCACGCAAAACTCAACTCTGTTCAATATTTAAGACAGACCGAGACGTGGGTAAGTAAATGAAAAGTTCCAACATTTTTGTGACGTATAAAACTGTGACTGATTTTGAAGTTTTTTTTTTCTGAACATTTTGGCATAAAAGAAAATTGAAATATAAAACTGAAAGCCACTAATCTTTTAGTAATTACTTGTGGAGAAAAATTCTCAAAATTAAACCAATTTATAGACAAACTCAGGATAATTTTCCCCTACATTTCTCCCTGTTTCTTTCTTATTCTTAACTTGTACATATCAAAGACACGGTAGAAAAACGTTCGATGCTTCCCCACAGGAAAAAAAAAAAGAACATTTACCTCGGAAAGGAGAGGTAAAACAACACCGGAAAGAACCGCGCTCCGCGGATGTTTGAGTTCCTGCGAGCTCCTTGGCCTCTGTTTATCTTCACCGGGCCTATGGTCCACCATAGGTACGACAGGTACATCCGGTTTACTGTTCCTCTTTTCCTTCGCGTTGAACTCTCTTTCCCTGTCTCTGTCCCTATCTCTGTCTCTATCCCTGTCCCTGTCCCTGTCCCTTTCCCTTTCTCTTCCTTCTCTATCACGTTCCCTGTCCCTGCTGTCTCTGCTATCACGTATCTCCCTCAACGAGGAATCTCGATTAAAGTCCCGGTAATCTCGGTCCTCTCGTTTCTCTCGCGTGTCCACGGGCGGCGGTGGCGCAGCCTCGTGCGGTCGGGACTGGAAAAAGACATGATTAAATTCCAGCGATATTAAAAAAACAGTCATCACTCGAGGGGACTTTATCCGGCGTCAGACGACGGGGAGATTGTATTTTTTTCCTCAACTGTCGTTTCTTTAACCTTTGGAGGACTGATGGAGTCTCTTTTGAAGGCCTTTTGAAATCTTTAAATTTTGTATACAAGTTGTATATGAATATAATATAATTTAAAATATCGTACTGATTATTTTCATACAGTACAAATAAAGGAAAGTAATATTTTTCCAAAGAACATATGTATATTGCTGTGAACAACAAATCTGATTTCTCAATGTGATTAATTGTAACATAAATTTTTGAACAAAAGAAAAGCCAGTATTTTTTACGGGGAAAAAATATCGGTCCTCGGAAGATTGATGTATCAAAGCTGTCCGTCCGTCCGGAGTTTTTTTTATGAAACAGGGAACACTCACCGGCGTGTGTTTCGTTTGGCCATCGCGCACAGAGTCTCTCGATTCGCTCCTGTAATGATTCAACGTGGAATCTTTCGGTGGAGATCTCGAGGCACCATTCGCGTGTGGCTTCGTTTGTTGGTTGTGATTCGTGGATCTGTGATTCGGAGTGTGTGTGAGGGTCAACGAGGCTGGCTGCTCGTCGAGCGGTAGCATAGGCACCACGGAACCTTTAACCCCATGTGGACCTTTCACGGTCATTATCCATGGCTCGTCCATGTCGCTATCCTGCTTCGACTCCTCCCTGAAAACAACCAAATCTATGTAGTTTCGACTACGTGTCGTTTACAAGAATAGCATCGCGAAATAGACATCATGAATGTTTATAAAAATTCGCAGAAAAGTTTATGACCTGAGTAAAGCTCTATGTCAATTTAAAACATATATATATATATATCGTAATAAAATTTTTCTCGTAAAAAATTTTTTTCTGTAATAACAAATTTCAAAATGTACGTAAAAATTTCAAGCCAATTATTGCAAACGTATATTTAACATTTCTCTCCAAGATACAACATACTTGTATAAAAATTCTCAACGTCAACGTGTTTGCGATTTGCACAAACACATCGCGATCCAATCGTAAACAAAAGAAGTAAAAACAGAGACTCACGAGTCCGAATTTTCGCTCTCCGTTTCCGATTCCTCGCTGCGCTGCGACTTCCACTTTTTGTATCTGTCTATAAGATCGATCAGGTACGAGTTTTTCTTCGCCTTCCTGATGAACTGGAACTTTAGCAGCTCTTTCGCCGTTGGCCTCTGAAATTCACGAATGAAATGGCAAAGTGTAATTAGACGAAACACCGAGAAAGACGACTGTCTGACTACTGACGGCTGAATCTACTTTAGGAGACGCAAGGCACTCTCGACAGTTTCAGTTTCTAACGAAGATTCTTTGCCGGGGAGTACGTGCTCGTACGGCGAAAATTAGTACAGCGATACGCGAGAGTCTCTGTCGCACCGGATGAAAATCAACTCACGTTTTCCGGATCCTTGTTGAGACAGGCCTCGACAAATTCCTTGAATTGCTTCGTGTAATTTCCGGTTAATTGGGGCGGATTGTTCTTCGGTATGAGGAATAGAACCCTCATTGGATGCAGCTCGCTGTTCGGCGGTTCTCCCTTGGCCAATTCGATCGCCGTGATGCCCAACGACCAAATGTCAGCCTGCGGAAACAACGCGTTCCACCGTTAACGCTCTACGTGTCTACCTGTTAATCAGGCGATAATGGCAACGTGACCTACGCGTCTTTCAGAAATTGCTCTCGAGGACTGTCGGGAGATGCCTAACGGGATGTCTATTCCAAACAGCATTATTTCTATTTTCAAATAAAAAATACTCTACATTCGTGTTAATCTGACGATTGTGAAATCCTCCTAGAACAATGATGGCGAACCTATGACCCGCGCTGGCTTTTTAAATGACCCACACATTGATTTTTATAAACTTATCATCATATATATATAACAGAATTTTAATTATTTCTCGAACCTCTCTTTTCAAAAAATGTCAAGAAAATTACAAGTGTTCGGTTAGAGTTTAAAAGTGAGAAATAAATGCACAATTGTGTTTTATGGAGAATTTACAACTTGGTTATGTATACATGTAGGTATTTTAAGTCTTAAATGTTATATGAGTTGTGTCCAAAAAATTTTATATAGTGCTTACGATCAAACAGATGTAATAAACACTAAAAAACACACTAGCTCCTATTCTCAGGATAGCTTTGCTAGTTTTTTATCTAATAAAAGAGAGACCAGACAATAAAAAATATTAAAAAACAAAGTATATATATTTAATGTATAGTGCAGGGATGATTGGGCATGATGTCACCCCTTTTATATCAATTTTTTGACGTCGACATTTATTTTTTGCTTTCCACTTGCAAAAGTAAAAGTTGTAAAGCAAAAAGGAAACGTAAACTTTTTAGAAAATTATAAAAGTGAGAACCAAAAGAAAAGTAGTTTTTAACCATTCTCCCCTCCTCCTTTCCAAGCGACACCACTGACTTAGTGATCCACGAGCTAGTACTAAACAAAATAATGAACAAAATTTGACCTACTTCTCAAAAAGGTTCGCCGTCACTGTCCTAGAACGTTCACGAACTACATAAATTATATTGGAAGTGGTAGTATCAAGTAAACTTTACATTGATAATTACATTTACAAGATTAATGTTTTAATTAAATGAAATTAAACGATTGAAATAATTAAAGCTGTCACTTTCAGCGGGTACATGAAAATTAAAATCGATTTAGAGATCTTTTCTCAATTAATTTGGTCGAAGAATCAACTGGATCTTCAAGTGTATGATTTTTCTCGTACACACGGAGAGCGTGTGGATAAAGCGGAGAGGCCGCAAAGAGGTAAACAAGGTAACCATGTTGAACGTAGGGACGGAATGTCGGAGGCAGGTAATAAAATTAAATCTCCCGGGATACGTGACCGGACTGTAACCTGGCGAGCAATGGCCTCGAGCAGAAGAACACAGCCGACATGACGGAACACGCCAGCAATTCCCCGAGAATATTCGATATTCGTTTTCTGCGATTCCGTGCGATTACCTTCGAATCGTAGGAGGCCTGCTTGATGACTTCCGGTGCCATCCAGAACGGCGTCCCCACGAAAGTGTTTCGTTTGCTGGTCGTGTTGGTCAATTGTCCAGCAACGCCGAAATCGGCTAACTTCACGTCGCCCATTTCGCTCAGTAAGACGTTTGCAGCTGAAAGAAAATAACGACGTTAGTTGGAATAAATATATTGGAATTTGTTTTTTTAAGGCAATATTCGTAATAAGGATCATTTCATGAATGTAATTCGCATGCATTATATATTATAAGTAACACAATATCAAAGAATGTATAAAATGTTCAAAGTACAGTGTTTTCTGTAACAATTGGTTTAAGAACAATTTTCTAAAGAAATTCTATTTCGTTAATTGTAAATTTAATAATAAAATGCGAATGTTTTTTCATTGTTCTCGAAACGATATTTAAAAAATTCTGAGATACCAATCAAAGTCTCTACTATGTTTTTTATATATATGCGAACGGACGAAAAAAAAAATTCTGCGAGAATTTCGAATAACATCACTGTGCTCCCAAATATCTACAAACGTCCACGTTTAGAATTTTATTCTACTTACAACGTCACACATTTTGTAGATTCTATTTGCCAACTCTTAACTAGCAAATGCTAATCAATTAAATTCAATTTTTCGTTCTCGTAGGTAAGGATTAAAGTCGTAAAACTCGAAAGAGAAGTTTAAAAAGAACCTGTTCATCCGCGGCCGAAATCAGTATTCATCTAGAGACACGAAAGAGAGACTTTTAGCCTGCTTGTTTCACGTCGGAATTAATTTTTAAACAGATTAATTTCCTTCCTTGGTACGTGTGCGCCTGTGTTTCTTTCTTTTTTTTTTTTCCTTGGTCGGTTGGTAGACCTACCTTTAATATCGCGATGAAGCTTCCGCTCGCTGTGAAGATAATCCAGCCCTTTGAGCACCTCGCGCAATATCACTGCGATATGCATTTCCTCGAAGTTACCGGCCTTCATCAAGTCCAGGGCCGAGCCGCCACCCAAGTACTCCATAATAATCCATAGTTTCGTTCCCTGTAAACAGAGGAAGATCCACTATGTAGAAACATCCCGTAGCAGCCCTTTGTGTCTGGCAATTTTGTCGGTGTGTGTGTGTGTGTCTCAGCCTCGAAATTGTCAGCCAATCTTTTTCTTTCAGATACGCCGAGGGATTATCATGCACAACAGGCTTTATTTTGTATTATACAATAAGAGAAAGTGAGGATATTTCGCGAGAAATGATTAGAAAAATATTTAAGAATTTCATTTCATTTCATTCAATGATAAAAAACTTGAATAAAGATATATCTTATCTTGATATATGCAACAATATAACAGATGACACGGAGTCTTAAGATAAATTAAAAAATTGAAAATTTACCTCGACATTTACCATTTCATCTTGGGATAAATGAAAAAAAGATTTACGAAAATAAGCGACTCGATCTTTCGAGAATTTTTCTAACTTCTTAGCCAACTAATTTCTTTAAGATCCTCAACTTTCAAGACTTTCGGCTTAATCAATCTTTTAAAAACTGGAACGTCGATCGTGCACTTGACCGACGAACTTGAGAGTGATTTACGAAAAAATTGTAGAAGCTTGTACAGTTTGGTTTCGCCGAGAGGTTTGCAGAATCAATCGTCTGCGAACTTCCACTCGGCAGCATTTTCCTAGAAAGATTCTGTACCGCGATGAAATTGCGGCTTAGAAAAATCTCCAGATCCGGAGACACGAATCCCGTTACTGGCGAGATTTTAGGAGGAATTCTATCGATCCAATCTTCTTCAAGGGAAAAAAGAATTCCAGCGGCAAAGTATAACGCAAGGCAGCCGCAAAAGGTGAAGAGAAAAGAAAAAGAAAAAAGAATTTCAACGATAATACCGGCGTAAGAGCGTCAAAGAAGGAACTCCGTGAATAAAATGATAGCTCAAGGCCATTAGAGAAGAGAAAAAAAAAAACAAGAATGAAAAATAAAAGGGAGTTATATAGTTAACGCCGTAACAAATAATGGGAACTTCATCAAGGCTCTTTTGCGTAATAATTTAATAATATCAGTGACAAGTTTCTATTATACGTAATCGCGTATAATATTCATGTATTATTTTATAATTTGTAAAATCAGCTTCAATTTTACACGTGTCATTGTCAAACGTATTATAACTATTACGCAAGAGGATTGGTCATAGTAACTTGTCAAATTCAATAACGCTAGGTTGTGTAACGAGTTCAATCATATTTCTTTAAGAATAAGAATCTTCGTCGAAGATCATTAATTTCACGCAAGCTTATCAATCGACGATTATTTACTGAACTTGCTACTGAATTAAACAATTTTTTACCTCCTATCGCAAACTCGCCTTTCAATACGTATATTTATTATATCCATTCTTCAAGTATCATTCGACGATTAGAAAATTTTCTAAATATCGAAGTAACTGATACTACATTAACATTACGTTTTAATTTTTATTTTCGCGTTACAATGGTCTGTAATTCGCAACGTGCCAGGTTATGTATATTTCGCAAAGTGTAACAAACGAACGAATGAATTTATTTGACTGCGTTTATGCGCAGAATGCAAAATATGTAAAAATATACGAAGGCTACCTGAAAAAAAAAACAACGTAGTAAGTTTATGTTCCGTCATTTTGTAGTTTTTATCGGCAATTGGGAAGAAAGTATAATGTTGACTTTTTATTTTCCAGATCTACGACCCATAGTTTTATATTCCACACTAAATTCTTCACTTTTGAATTTTCTTCAGACTGGCCTCCGCATAAGTTCACCGATCATTCTAATCGATCGATCAAATCAGATTACTCCGAATTCATCGGAAGTTAATCGTATTAAAATGCAAAATATATTTACAATCACTTGCGCTAATTATATACCAATTTATTCCGCAATGTCTGTTCTCGCCTTCTGTATTCAAGCGAACTCTTAATTATCGTTTCACTAACTAAACATTGTTAATATTAATGAGCGCTTCGCCTCGAGTGTTTTACTCACCTCGCACGCGTGAACTTTGAATTTCGCGTAAATTCAGTGTGCCAATAATTTGAAACAGGTCGAGAGAAGCGAACGAAATGTCCTACAGCGACAAAGATCAGCGACGAGACAAAGATTTTGCGAATTTTTCTCGAGCGCCGGGCAATTATTCCCGCGTTTCGCTGGCTATTTCAGCGAAATGAGCCAACGAAGGAAAAGCAGATTGGACTGGAATATCGCGCTGTTGAAGATTAATTCCGTCGCATCGTTCATCACTGCCACCGGCACGCCTGGCCGTTTTGTAAAAATGCAGGAACAAAAGGGCACGCGCCGATAGAGAGAAGCAAAATCGTCCATTAATCACACGTTCGTCCATCGTTCCTTTTGCTTCTTCATAGCGACATTGCCCTTTTGCAAGCGAACTTCTCTCTCTTTCTCTCTCTCTCTCTCGCTTGGTTCTTTTTATTCAACGACGCGACAGACTGGAAATCGCGCAATATTTGCGCGACCATACGTTTTTTGTTGCATTTGTTTCACACCCCTCTTCCCAGGACAGCTGCTCTCGGAGCAAACCGGCTACGCACGATTGAAAAGCAGTCAATCGTTCTCTCGCGACAGGGGAATTTACATACGTACCGGTTGATTCGTAAAGCGTTTAATTCCGCCCGTGTCCTAGAGATCGCAATTTCCAACGTGCACCGAGATTACGAATATTAACACTGAAACTATCGACGATCCGTAAAATTTCCATCGGGAACCATTGAAGTCAAAGGAAATGGAGAGAAACTTTATAAACTTTTATTTGTATGTTTGTACGAAAAATTATTTAGATCTATAAAAATTAAAGTATCTAACAAAAATGAAATAAATTAGTCATTTTGGCTACTTTGGTGGTTCTAGCGTGAAAAAATTAAGAGCTGCGTGTATGCTTCTCCTATCAAATTGCACGAATAAATAGCTTCGATTAAAGAAATGGAGAGAAACTTTATAAACTTTTATTTGTATGTGTGTACGAAAAATTATTTAGATCTATAAAAATTAAAATATCTAACAAAAATGAAATAAATTAGTCATTTTGGCTACTTTGGTGGTTCTAGCGTGAAAAAATTAAGAGCTGCGTGTATGCTTCTCCTATCAAATTGCACGAATAAATAGCTTCGATTAAAGAAATGGAGAGAAACTTTATAAACTTTTATTTGTATGT